AGGCTATGAGAAAAGTTTCAGGAACTCTGAGCAAAAGTGGTTGCTTCTTGGAGGGGAATGAGGCAAATCTTTGTCTTCTTGCTGCAGTAGAAAGGACACGGAAGGTATCCCTCAGAGACGGTGACACCCAGTTTCCTGGATTCTGTGGTGAAGGAGAGAGACCCTCTGGAACTCAGAGCTTGTCGTGAAGCACTGGAGAGTATGGGGCCTGAGGATGGTATGGAAATGTCCCATGAAAACGGCCAGGCAGACGGGCATTCCCTTCCCAGTTACTTGCAGATCCTGGGAGTGTGTTTATTGTATCGTAACCCTTTCTGAATTCAAGGATTGCTCATATGCAGAAAGACAGAGGGCTTATTCAGAAACTAGCCAGCGGGAATGCCAATGCTGCCAGGAGTTTTGGTGCCAATTCTTGGGTCTTGCTGCTGCAGGTGGCACGTGATTAAGTACGAGCTTGGATACTTCTTGGCTGCTGGTGCTTAGCATATAATGGCTCCATTCACTGAGCCTACGATGCCTGTGGCAGGCCATGCATTAGCTCATTCCCTTCTTTTATGTACCCTTCTGGCTAGGAGGGAACTGGGGAGGGCCACTGGGGTTAGGGCCTGGCCTTGTAGGGGAGAGGGAGCTGCAGACAGGAAACCACCCCTTATTCTGAACATATCCGAAGTCCACGCCAACTACATCATTTCCCAAACTATTTTTCAGTGGCCTGATTCCCAGCCCCTCCTCTCTAAATGATACTCCTGCTCAGAGATGGTGCTTTTAGAAAAGGCATAAACAGTGTTAGGAAAAAAAGTAGGTGGCCCAGTTTTTTCCCATTCTGGCACAGCTCAGGCTGGTCTCCCACACGTGCCCCATTGACTTTGTTTCCTCTCCTCTTCCTTTACACTTCATAATGAAGACTCTTTCATTACTGGGTTTCACAAATGAAGGAAATTGATTAGAACAATTACCTTTCAGCTCATTCCAGGCATCCCACTTGGCCTTGCCTGTGAAGTCCAACATCCCGGGCCGTTCTTAAACAAGGAAAGAAAAGACATTAGATCTGGTTCGAATTCTAATGGAGACCTTGATCAACCTTCTTGCCATAAATGCCATCTTCTATTACACCTGTTCCTTCTAGGCTCTCTCATGGGGTTAAATAGGTCTAGTAGAGTGGGTTCTGCCCTAAGAAAACCAGATATACGCCAATCCAAACTTAAAATCTGGAGCAAATAGGAAGAACACTATTCTTATTACAAGATAACCTTTTTCTTACAAGTTAAGTGACTCCAAAATTTCTCCTTTAAAAAAATTATACTTTAATTACAATTGTTTTTAAAACATCCATTCATATGGCTTAAAATTCAAAAGCGACAGAGGAAAATACTATAAAGTTTCTCTCCCACCCCTGCTCTTAGCTACCCAATTTCTCTCCCTAATCAGTAATGATATCAAGTGTCCTTTCCTATGAACTGTTTATATCCTAGCCCCATTTTTCTACCAAATTGTTAGACTATTTCTTGCTGATCTGTGGGTGTTTTCACCGAGGGTAAGGTTTCTTTAAGTCACATGATGACTTTATGCTTATAGACCTGTTATCATCTGCAGTTGGGAAACATACTCACCATCTCCCTGTTGTCCTATTTCACTAACACGCCCAACCCCAAAGCCAAAGGGAACAGCGTCCGTAGCCTGGAGCACTGTGTCTGAGAAAATGTTCCTGAGCGCTTTCAGGGAACTGTTCCCAGGGACAGCTGAAACAAACTGCCCTTGCGGTCATCATCAGGATCCTAGAATAGCACTCCTCAACAGCTCTCTCCAAGCGATGGAAATGGAAATGTACATGTATATTTGCAATGTCCAATTCAGGAGCCACTTGCCACACCAAGTACCTGAAATGACTACTGGGCATCTGAAATGTGGCTCCTGTGAATGAAGACTAAACTTGATTTTATTTAACTATTTTTAGTTTTTTTTTTTTTGAGACAGAGTCTCGTTCTGTTGACCAGGCTGGAGTGCAGTGGTGCATCCTTGGCTCACCACAACCTCCACCTCCCCAGGTTCAAGCGATTCTCCTGTCTCAGCCTCCCAAGTATCTGGGACTACGGACACGTGCCACCATGCCCAGCTAATTTTTGTATTTTTAGTACAGATGGGTTTCACTATGTTGGCCAGGTTAGTCTCAAACTCCTGACCTCGTGATCCACCCGCCTCGGCCTCCCAAAGTGCTGGGATTACAGGCATGAGTCACCGCGCCCAGCCTCAGTTAAAATTTATAGAGTCATATGTGGCTACTGGCTATTGTACTAAACTATTGTGTTTGGACTGTCATGTTTTATAATCGTGTAATAGGGCTGTAGAGTACAGCCCTAGAGAGCCAATGATACCTCTTTGATCAGTAAGTGAAAGATTCCCATGCCAGTCTATCTAGACTCATGTGAAAACCGGTAACTCTAGTACCGGCACAGGCCAGTCTCTATGAAAATACTGTCAGAAAAGCATCTCAGCACCTCTGGCCTCCTCCACTTCACTTTTCCTTCCCCTCCCTGGAAGGACAGAGTTTACGAACTCACTGTAAAACCCATCTTCGCCACAAGACCTTCCTCAACTAAGTGCTCCATGTGAACCCCAGGGTTTGATTTGGTACTGCCTGCGATCTGTCATTCTGGGTGCCATTTCCTGCTTCTAGCTGGCTGACAGCCAGCCCACATGCTCCATCTTCCACCCCAGCTACTGTGGAAATGGGGACCATGCTCACTTTCCTTCTCAACAGGGGCAGGGGAGACCTCCCTTCTGTGCTGCCATGACAACCCTGAGTCCTTGCACAGAATGCACTGTGCTGTTGCCTCAGTATCCACCCATGTTTCAGGGACTTAGGGACAGAATGAAACCTGCCGGAGGTAGGAAAGACGTTATTACAGAACATGATAGTCCAAAGTACAGCCTCAAAATCTGCACCAAGATTTTCGGACAGGGAAAAAGTTGTCATCAGGAAGGCACAGACTTGTTAGCGAAATGCTCTGACCTGGCCCAAGGAACCAGGTGCTTCTCTGCTCCTGACATCAGGCTTGGCCAGGCTGTCAAGCGCTCCACCTTTGATCCTGCCCATCTAGGGCAGAAGCTGAACGGCTCAACAATGATGCCACTGAGCTGAGAGCCTACAGCAAGTCTTTTCCAAGCTGCAGCCTTTGCTTCTTCCCTAGTAGAGAGGAGCTGCTGGTGATAACCAGTAAAGACCTTCTGAAGCCAGGATTTGAATTCTGCTACTACTGGAGACACTGAGAATCCGGAACACCGTCTTTTCCAACCCAGGAACCATCACCATACCCCAACTGAAGAGTAGGGCCTCAGGCAGTTTGAGAGTGAAGTTCCCAGGGACTTCCAGTCTGGGCTGCTGAGCCTGCTTTGATGAGAAGAGGCCCTCCCAACCCCCGCTCCGCATACCTGTATTTATGTCGCCCACGGTTGCTTGTTTGTAGCGGCCATAGATGAACAGCATCTCATCATCGGCTGGCTTGGTCTTAAGGCGCTTAACCTCCTCTGCAGCTTTCTCAAACTCAGCCTAAATGGAAGGGAGAGGAGAGGACTGAGGGCCTCCTCTGGGTGGGAGAGGGTAGGAGTCCTGCTGTGGCCTGAACAGAGTCCAGTTACAGGGATGGAGAGGTGGGAAAGGTGGCACCCTTCGGGCAATGCAGCCCCTGAAGTGTGTCTGCCCCACCCTGCCCCAACAGGGCAGCTAGAAAGATTCAGCAACACAAGAAGGGGAAGCCCCTCCAGTTCACTCATTCAATCGAAAACCCTGTATCCAGCGCTCTCACAAACGCAGGCATCAGGTCTGGAAATACAGCAGTGAAGAGGGCAGGCCAAGCCTTTGCCCGCAGTGGGTGTCCACCCCACGGGAGAAGTGGGAGAAGCAGCGCGGCCAACTGCCTGGCCACCACCGTGCCAGGCACTAGGGAGTGGCCGGGGTTTCAGCTAAGCCCTGGCCTGGGGACAGAGGCGGCACAGCATGCTGGAAACCTCTGAAAGGGGACAGGGCATAAGTGCCCCGGTGTCAGCGCCGGAGCCCGTTGGTCCCCTCCCTCCCCCTGGGGCCTGGGCATTCAACACTGACCTCTGTCCCAGTGCCCGGATTGGCAGAGGCAGGCGGGAGGGGCCAGAGGTCGCCCCACATAGCTTGGTCTCCGATAAGTGTCTACACTGGAGGGAAGGGAGGGACCCCTGGGTCACCTCTCCCCGCCCGCGATTCTCCTCGTCCCGCACTCGGAGAACCCGGCCCCGTACTTCCCCTGACCTCCAAGCTCCCGTCCACGGCCTCCTCGCTTCCCCACTCCGCCGCGGCGTCCCGCCCTGTGCTTCGGGATGGGGACTGAGTCTCCTCGCTCCTCCAATCCGTGCAACCCCTTCCCCCATCTTTCCATCGAGCACCCTCGACTCCCACTCCTCTCCCGCTACACAGCGAAGTCCACCCCATGGGCAACTTTCCGGCAGTTGCGGGGTGGGCAGCAGAGTTAGAAATCCCCAAACGGAAAATCCCGCTCACAAGGCTCTGTCCAACGAATCAGGGCTGGACATGGGTCCAGGAGGAACTGCGGGGCACGGAAGGAAAGAGCCCGAGAGTTTCTGGCTGCCGGGTGAGCCACCAACAGGCCTCCAGCCCGCTGCACCGTCCCAGCCTGGCTGTGCACGCGCTGTACCTGAGACATCCTGGCCGCCTTGCAAGAACCCCAGGGAGACTGCGGAGGAGGCGAGGACCAGGAAACGATCGCTCAGAGCACTGGCAAGCGCTTTTAGAGGCGCGGTTCACTCGCCCCAACCCCGCTCGGGCGAGCACCGGAAAGCCAATCAGAAGCCAGCTCTGTGCTAGGGGCGTGCCCAGCCCCCGCCGCGGCGCCAGCCCCGCCCGAGCCCACGTGGGACTGCTTGCGCACGCGCTGGGAGTAGCCGAAGGGAACGCCGGGAGCAGGTGGGGACCACGGAAGTAGGGCGGTTAGTTTTGCGGATGGGAGTAGGTTGAGAGTTGGGTTCAGTACTGGACCGTTGTGGGGACGGCACGCGGGGGAGGGGGAGGGGACGGAGACCGAAGAGCGGAGGTCCATATATTTCTTTTCTTTCCTTAAATCTCTTGCCCGGCCTGCAGAGGCCGGAAGTTGCTTCTCTGGACAAGTAAACTCTCAGACCTGGGAATGGTGAGCGGGACCCGCTAGACTCTTGGGGTCTAGAGGAGACCCCCGGAGATGATCCCTGGTGAGCTGCGTGATGGTGGAGAGCTGGACTGGTCTCCAGAAAGGCGAAGCCGAGGCCTCTTCCTCTGAACTTTTGGCACGCGTTCTTTGACTTGCCTGTGGCCTTAGTATCAGTCCTGTATTGCACATTGATGTCTGTGGTGCATTTCTCCATCTGGGGCCTTAAAGGCAGGGACAGTGTCTTATTTGTCTTGATTTAATAAACTTGGACGGGACCAGGTGTTCAGCACATATTTAACAATAAGTTAAATATAGAGTTCTTTAGAGGCTTAGAGAGGTGGAAGTTTATAGTTTTAAATGAAGGAGGGCGAGTATTGAGGGAAGGTGACATTTGAGAAAGTTCCTCAAGGAAGGGAGGGAGGATTCCAAGCAGAGAACAAGTGTAAAGGCGTGGACAGGGAACCAGGGGAAGAGTAGAAAGATGAGGCTGGAGAGTTTTGGAGGTGACAGGCTGGCTAAGTGATGTAGAAGTTGGCCTTCACAGGGACTTTGACTGTCATGCTGAGTGAGATGAGAAATCGTAAAAGGATTTGAAAAGAGGATGAGGAGACGGAGGGGAACGGCTTTGCGAGATTGTTACAGAGACTACTTTCCATGGGAACAGAAAGGAGCAGCACAGTTGTCTGGAAGTGTTTTAGGATCGATGTTTAAGAAGCTAAAGGAAGACTTCTCTGGCAGTGGTTACAAAGGAGCTGGGTGACGAGAGGGAAATGATGGAAAATTCTCTGGAGATCGTTAAAAAAGCAAAATCCTATCTCTCTAATTCATAATTTGTGGCAAGAGGGCTGGACTACAAATCTCTCTGCCCTGCCTACACCTCCCCCCTCCCCAGGGAAGGTAGATACTTTCAGACTTAACTTACTAACTTAGTGTAGGTCAGGTTTTATGGACGGTTTGGGAAGAAATGAAGATACAATAGGGAACAAATCTAGGGTTTTCAGTCTGAGAATTTTGTTTGAGAAAGAAAAACGAAACAAATTAACAAAAATCTTGGAGTTAAATATGGGGAAAGTACACTGAAGTGTAAGAAATGCAGGTTTCTTCGAAAATCACAATTCAGAGCTGCTTTTTCCATGTGAGGCCTGGATTTGGTTTTGCTCTACTTGGTGCTTACAGCTTCCTTGATGGAAACTCAGATTGCTTGTGTGGACCAGATTTGCAGTCAAATACATCCCCTAGTCAGCAGGTTTTAAGTTAGGGTATTGTCACGATTAGGTACTTTGATAATGCAATTATCACTTCTCAAAGATCAGTTGCTTTGATTTAGTTTTTTAGTTTTTTGTTTTTTTTCTTTTTGTGTGTGATAGGGTCTCACTCTTTTACCCAGGCTGTAGTTCAGTGGCACAATCTCAGCTCTCTGCAGCCTTGAACTGCAGGCCTCAAGCGATCCTCCCACCTTAGCCTCCCGAGTAGCTGGAACTATGGGTACAACCACCATGCCTGGCTAATATTTTTATTTTTATATTCACAACTTGGCTGTTTGGTGCAAGGGGCCTAATATTCAACCTATCTTGGCTTTTATCATGCCTTCCTCACTAAGCTTAATCATTTCTAACTTTTGATTTAAAATGAGAGACTAACAATGCTTCCTGTCACTTGAAAACCTAGAGGCCATTGCAGTGTTATTAATTGGCCTAACTTCAATATTGTTGTGCATGTTTTGTTAGATTTATACCTAAATACTTGTTTTTGAGTGATTGCAAATGTTACTGTATTTTGTATTTGTATTCGTATTGTATATTGTATTCCATGTGTTCTTTGCTACTATTTGGAAATACAGTTGGTTTTGTGTGTTTATTTTGTATCCTGTGACTTTGCCAAATTCATTAATTCTAGATTTTTTTTTTTTTTTTTTGAGAATTCTTGGGATTTTCTGTGTAGATAATCATGTCATCTGCAAATATAGGGACAGTTTTATTTCTTCCTTTCTCAACTCTCTGCCTTTTATTTCCTTTTCTTGCCTTGTTTCACTGGCTAAAACTTCCAGCAGCAGGTTGAGTAAGAATGGTGAGAATGGCTATCTTTCCTTGTTCCTGATCTTAGGGGGAAAGCATTTAGTCTTTCCTCATGAAGTCTAATGTTAGCTCTAGTTTTGTTTTTTTTTGGTTTGTTTTTTGTAGTTGCTCTTTATCAAATTGAGATGTTCCCCTCTTTTCTTGTTTTTCTGAGAGTCCTTATTGTGAATGGATGTTCAATCTCCATTGATGTTTGTCAGGTGCCTTTTCTGTATCACTTGATGTGATCGTGTGATTTTTCTTCAGCTTGTTAATTTGGTGGATTACATTGATTGATTTTCAAATATTAAACTAACATTGCTTCTCTTGAAAAAACTACTTGGTCATGGTGTATAATTATTTTTATGTATTGCTAAATTCTATTTGTTAATGTCTTACTAAGGATTTTCATGTCTATATTCATAAGGGATATTGGTCTGTTGTTGTCTTTTTTTAGTAATGGCTTTGTCTGGCTTTACTATTGTGGAAAAACTAGCTTCATAAAATGAATTAGGAAATGTTCCTTCCTTTTCCATTTTCTGAAAGAGGTTGTGTACAATTGATGTTAATTCTTCTTTAAATGTTTTGTAGAGTTCTCTAGTGAAACTTTCTAAGACTGGAGATTTCTTTTCTTTTCTCCTTCCTCCCTTCCTTCCTTCCTTTTTTCCAGGAACCCCATCAGGTTCTTATGGAGATTTCTTTCTTGGGAGTTCTTAAATTATGGATTTAATTTCCTTAATAGTTATAGGGCTATTCATATTGTTTATTTCATACTGGTGAGTGTTGGTAGTTTGAGTTTTTAAAGAAATTGGTCCATTTTGTCTGTGCTGTGAAATGTATGTATGTAATTAGTTCGTATTCCCTTATTATCCTTTTGATATGTGCAGAGCCTATAATGATATCGTCCGTTTCATTACCGATACTGGTTATTTGTGCCTTCTTTTTTTTTTCCTAGCTGGTCTTGCTCAAGATTTTTCAGTGCTTAAAAAATCTTTTCAAAGAACCATTTCTTTTCTCATGGATTTTCCGTTTTCTGTTTTCAATTTTGTTGATTTCCGCTCCTAATTATTTCTTTCCTTATGCTTGCTTTGGGTTTGTTCTGCTCTTGATTTTCTAGGTTCTTGAGGTGGGAGTTTAGATTATTGACTTGAGACTTTTTCTCATTTAATATATGCATTTAGTGCAATACATTTTCCTCTTCACAGTGCTTTAACTGTGTCCAACTTTTATTCAGTTCAGTGTATTTTTAGTTTCTTTTTTTTTTTGAGACGGAGTCTCCCTCTGTCACCCAGGCGGGAGAACAGTGATCTCGGTTCACTGCAACCTCTGCCTCCTGGGTTCAAGCGATTCTCCTGTTTCAGCCTCCTGAGTAGCTGGGATTACAGTGCCTGCCACCAAGCCCAGCTGATTTTCGTATTTTTAGTAGAGATGGGGTTTCATCATGTTGGCTAGTCTGGTCTCGAACTCCTGACCTGAAGTGATCTGCCCACCTCAGCCTCCCAAAGTGCTGGGATTACAGGTGTGAGCCACTGAACCTGGCCTTAGTTTCCTTTGGGACTTCCTCTTTGGTCCAGGGCTTGTTTAGTAGTCTGTTCCTTAGTTTCCAAGTGTTTGAAGACTTTGCTGGTAGCTTTCTGTTTCTGATTTCCAATTTGATTCCGCTATGGTCAGAGAACACACTGTTTAATTTCACTTCTTTAAACTCATCATGGTTTTTTCCTGTGGTGCAGAATATGGATGTCTTGGCATCTATTTTGTGGGTACTTGAAAATAATGTGCATTTTGCAGTCATTAGTGAGGTGTTCCATAAATGTCCATTACATCCTGTTGGGTGGATGGTGTTGTACAGCAGCGGTCCTCAACCTTTTTGGCACCAGGGACCGGTTTCATGGAAGACAGTTTTTTCATGGATGGGGTGGTAGGGGGATGGTTTTGGGTTGAAACTGTCCCACCTCAAATCATCAGGCATTAGATTCTCACAAGGAACGTGCAACGTAGATCCCTCATATGCTCAGTTCACAATAGGGTTCGCGCTCCTATGGGAATCTAATGCCACCACTGAGAGGAGTTGATTCCATTCCTTCTCCCTGTAGGTCCCACAGGGGCAATCAGAGTAGCTCATTTGCTACTGCGTGTGCAGTGGATTTGTGTCACAGCTGTAAAACCCCAGGTGTAGGTAAATCAAATTCTTTATGAAGGGCTGCAGGCAAACCTGCCCAGCCTTACCCTGGGGTGAGATATCTTCATTGTACTGGACAGTCTGGTGGGAGATACTGTCTCTGTCTTTCTAAGCTGTTTGCTATATACATATCTTTGAAAGATAGTTAAGAATGAAAGCAGCCAGCGCCTCTACTTCTAAGACACTCAGAAGTGTGAGAGACCCGTGGAGAAATGTCTCCTAACACACAATACAGGGATTAACATTCTCACTGATGATTGCAAATCAAGAAAAAGAGAATTTATACCCAGTATACCTTGTTTAAGAAAGTAAGTGTATGAAATATTCTTTCCAAATGGTTAAGTCTCCAGCCCTTGAGAAAACTCAACTGTCCAGAATGGTTTATGGAGAGTCTTGCATATCTTGAGCAGAGAAAACAAATTATGGTTTTGTACATTTGCTCCAGATTGAAGGTCATAATGGCAGGTCTGAGGAATTGTAGGTGTTGATTTGTCAGTGGGTGGTGTACTGTACGTGTGAACAGTAATCAAGGATATATTTATTTGGAACTGATAATGGTTCTTCCTCAGGGAAGGTCAGCTGCTAATGTCATTGTGTAGTAAAGCAGTTACAGCACGGAGAAGCATGTGCCAGTCAGCAGATTAGCTAAAATTCATCTTGTACCTAATGTGTTACCTAACCCCCTAGAGGTGGAAGAGTTTATTTTTTTAACCTATCTAAAAAATGGTTGAGGTTAAAGACTTTGAAATCATTTATAAATGAATTGTCGAAAATATATTTCTCAAAAGTTCTGTCAGTGAAAGATGATTTAACCAACTCTTCTAGAATAATGGTGCTTTCATTTGTATTATGCAGCTAAACAAACAAAAAAATGCCAAGAAGTTTTCAAATGTTATTTAACCC